TTTGAAAATAAATATTGATAGGGGTCCTATGCTCTACAAAAGAAAGTATCTTTTTTTTTCAGTGTATACTATTTGCATAACTGAGTTAAATTCATGCTGTGCTTGTAATTTGTTCATTGTTGACAAGTTGCATTTACTTGTCCTTGAAGGTAAAACATTTACCAGCTGCAAAGCAATCCAACAGCAAAACAACATTACCAAGGATGGTGACTATTACCTTAACGTTAAGGGAAGAATAATAAAGGTATTATGAAAACAGTTCCTATTTGATTTTAACATTGACTGTCGGCTTTGGAAAAAGCTTGTCTAGATGTTTGCATTTTCCCTTTAGATCTATTGTGCAGGCATGCACATGGAGAATCCCAAGGAATATATATCATTGGTCAAAGGTGAAGAAGACAACTTTTCCGAAGTATATGGTTTTAGGTAAGAGATGTGTTTTGGCTTATCAGTGCATTTTTCTGGTCCTTTAAGAAAATTCTAGCATTCAGAGTGATACTGGAGTAGCTTGCAAGTGGGACAAGTAATTTAGAAGCAGGCAAACTAAAACCTAAATTACCATATTTCCCCATATATAAGATGCACCCTTTTTTGAAAAATTTGGGGTCTAAAAACTGGGTGCGTCTTATACAGTGGTTGTAGATTTTTTTACTTGCATTTCCCACAAGTGATGAGGAGTTGTATGAATTTTATGATGAATAAAACTTGAGTTCAATAACTTTATGTAATACATTTTTTTTCAAATTTCGGGCCCCAAAATTAAGGTGCGTCTTATACATGGGGGCATACAGTAGCTGTTGTCCATGCCTGTTCAGTAATGAAGACTTGAGTATTAACATGTATTCACAGGGAGACCGACTAAGAAGGACACGGTGGGAGGGGAGTGGGACAACAGTCAAGCGGAGAATTTAAGACCTGTGTGAATTTTCATAGAAATCATATTAATGCCAGTGACAAAAGCTAGGAAAACTAGAGATGAATTACTTTTCCACAAACTGGTCTTGAATTTGCCATTGCTAATTTCATACGTTACCCTTGAGTGATTTTTACTTCTTTCTCATTTAACTTGTGGATCCTGTCATACTGAAGAGTGTATCTTTTACCTTCCTACTTCCAAAATTTACCACTTATCTGCATTATGGGCTAATAGCTGTATCTAATACTAAAAATATTCCCACGTTGTTCCAGACTACAAAATCCATATGAATGTCCTTTTAATGGAAGTAGGAGGCAAGACTGTGAATGTAAAAATGACTACCTGGCTGCTGGGCACACTGTTTTCAGCAAAATAAGAATTGATCTCACTTCTATGCAAATTAAAAGTAAGTGCTGAGTCTCTATTTACAAAATTAAAAGCTTCAATCTGCTAATGAAACTCTAGCAATATGCTGGTATATGTAATAGCCAGGGTATAGCAAGGGCCTAGCATTGCGCAATAGTTACTTAAATTGTTTTTAAGTTATTAGCTACATAATTCCTCTGCAATGACATGGACCATAGGGACCCTTAATAAAAAATGTAGTGGTGGGCCGGCCAAGTGGCTCAGTTGGTCAAGAGCTCGAGTTCTGAGCAATGGGGTCGCAGGTTTGATTCCCACGTGGGCCAGTGAGCTGCGCACGAGCTGAGCTGCCAGCACATGGCAGGATGGCTCAGCTGGTGAGAGCACATATTCCTAACAACAAGGTTGCCAGTTTGACTCCCACATGGGATGGTGGGCTATGTCCACCCGCAACTAAGATTAAACATGGCTCCTTGAGCTGGGCGGCCAGATGGTGACTGGACTTGGAGCTGAGCTAGCTGCGCCCTCCACAACTAAGATTGAAGGACAGCAACTTGGCTGGCTGTTCCCCTTCCCCAATTCCCCAATAAAATCTTAAAAAAAAAATGTAGTGGTAATGACAGTGATAAGATTTGTTTTTTTACCATAAATTTTCTCTATTGATCTTTTTAACAACTTGTTTTTGCAAGTGATGAAATTAAGATGCACTTACAGAAGTGTCTTGTCCCAATTCATACAGTTAGTAACTGGCATTGCAGGGAGATAAAGCCCCATCCACAGATCCCAGACTATGGACCTGCTGCTTATATATGAATCAATTTACAATGCAGTCAAGTAAAAACATACTTATGAAACCTAATCTACACTCAGCAGCCTGCTGTCCTGGAAGTTATGTATCTACGCAAAAAGGCAAAGAAATTCATTTCAGAAGTAGAAACTCTAAATTGCAATTGAATCACCAGTGCCTATTGCAGTGCATAAACCATAAAAAGAAACAAATAAATGTTGAGACAGTGAATGTACAAACACATAATGTCTAAATTGCAGTCATGTGATAATGCACTGTTATTGTTAGTAATAATGGCTACCATTTACTGAACACCCACCATTACTGCAGTGGGGCAGCATTATACTATTATGGTTATGATTATGAACTCTGGAGTTCGACTGGGTGTAAATTCTCTGCATCAATCTACCAGTGGGCATCTCTCTATAAGCCTAAATTACCTCCTCTTTAAAATGAGAAAAAAAAACTCTCAGATTTTTTCT